TTCCCGGCCGGGGGAAGGCGATGCGGATCTCTCTGAAACCAAAAGCGGCAGTTCCAATCCAATCCCAATTGACAAGATTGTCCCTGTGACCATAATCACTGGGTTTCTCGGTTCAGGTATGGTGTGAGTTGGCGGAAAGTAAGCGCTAACTAGCGAGCTCACTCAGGCCCAACCTCCCCACCCTCTCTGCACAGGGAAGACGACACTGCTGAATCATATACTAACTCAGCCGCACGGAAAACGGATTGCTGTGATTGAGAATGAGTTTGGTAAAGGCTTAGGTATTGAAAGTGCCATTGCCAAGGATGGGGCCGATGGAAGCAGTTTGGAAGGTTTTTTTGAGCTTGCAAATGGATGCATCTGCTGCTCTGTCAAAAACGATCTCCTAGCCACTTTAGAGGTCCTGGTGCAGCGCAAATCTCAATTTGATTACGTTATAATAGAGACAAGCGGTCTAGCAGATCCTGGTCCCGTCGCAAGCTGTTTGTGGGTAGACGAGGAGTTGGAGAGCCAGCTGCGTCTGGACGGCATCGTTACTGTTGTAGACGCCAAGTACATCTCCCGACACATCCATAGAGGGGGGCAGGAAGGCCAGACTTTTCAAGGGGATAGCCATTTAGAGAGAGTGAAAAATAGAGGGGCTGAACGGGTGACCTCTGATGTCTCGAACATTTGTGAAAATCTACGTTGCCCCGTTGCGAGCGAGGAAGTCTATTACCGAGAAGAGGCGTTTCGACAGATCTGTGTGGCGGACCGCATAGTGCTCAATAAAACCGACTTGGTGCCCGAAGAAGACACGATCTCCCTGGAGGACGAGTTGCGGGGTCTAAATGGAATGGCACGCATCCAACGCACGGTATATTCTCATGTGGACCTTGACTTCGTGCTCGGCCTGGAATGTTACAGCGGGAAGACGAAGGAGGATCCGCTGCCATTTTTGTCTTGCGGTGAGAGAAACGGCGATGGAGAGCGACACAGCCACGGTGGCGTGAAAGAGGTGACAACGCTGGCGATAGTGGAGCCGGTGGAGGTGGACGGAGAGGCCGTGAAGCGCTGGTTGGCAGACTTGCTGTGGCGCGACGACCCGTCAGACGGAAAGGAGGGGGAAAGAGAAGACGTGGGGCGGGACGAGGGCATCCAAGATTCGATCCGTGAGTCGAGATGTCAGAGGCAGCAGATCTATCGTATGAAAGGCACCCTGTCCGTGGCGGGCTCCGACATGGTCCACATCCTGCAGGCAGTGCACGAGACCTTCGAGCTCGAGGCCAGCCAGACGCCTGCGCGGGGGGGGGGCGAGCGAGAGGCTGCTCGGGAGGGAGGGGCTGAATGTCGGCTGGTCATCATCGGCAAGGCGCTCGACGAGGCGTGTTTGAGGGCAGGCTTCTTGGCTACGGTCAGTTCCTAGCATGCGGAGCTAAGCTGAAGTTAAGGAAAATAAGCTTGTGCGTCCTATTTGTGGGTGAATCCTATGGCATGTGTTGCATTTCTTTAACATCTGTTCGTTTTCATTTTCCCCTCCTGCTCGCCAATATTGAGCGGGGAAATGGAGGCCTTCGATTATCACGCCCTCCCATTCTCAAGAGTCTTGTGGGCTCGCTCGTCTCCTCCCGGGCCTCTATAATTTGGTCCGCACGCCTCCTAGCCTATGTACAGCAACACAACACCCGAGACACGAGGGTATCGCTCCTCCCGTTTAATACTTTCGCTTCTCCACGTCGACGCCACGGCCAGGACACTCTTCGAGTGCTCTTCTTCCCACAACTCGGCTTTCTCAACGCGACGGTCCACCCTACTACGTCTATCGAGTCTTGAACCCGCGTTTGAATAAAACCAGGAGCACTAGCATCGTGGCCACCGATAAGGCCGTGCTCAGCAATTCGCTCTTCCACCAAGGCTGCGCTGCCTCCCCCGCCCCGCCGTCTCCCGTGGTCCTTGACGCGCCAGCGGCGGCACGCGTGGCGGCAGCAGTAGCCCGTCGGCTGCGACGACGCTGGCGGCGGGCGTTCGCGCGCGTGCCCAACCCAAACAGGTTTCCAATGCCAGCAAAAGGGCCCTGAGTCGCAGCCGTCGCTGTTTCCTCCTCCTCTCTGTCTTGTCGCTCCATTTCACGTCGCATGTGCGCCAGGGTGCGACGACGGTAGAAAGAGCATTGTTCGTCCCAGAGGTTTGAAGCGCGAACATACTTTTCGATCATGGCGTCGTATTGTCGCATGGGAATGGTTGAGTGGACAGGTTTCTGGCAGGTAGGGCATCGAGAGCCGCCCGCCACAGGGAGTTCCAGCCATCTTTCGATGCATTCTCCGCAGAAAGTGTGCCCTTCTCCACAATCAACTGCCGCCGCCTCCACCATGTACTCGTGACAGATGACACACTCCAGGTCGAGGTTGCGAAGGAAGCGCCGCACTTGGTCATCCGGCGTCTCGGCGAAGAGCTTCTGGGCGATCACGTCGTCGTCGTCTTCAGAGCGAAGCAGCTCGTCCAGCACCTCGTCCGAGACCTCCCCTGCCAAGCTGTCCTTTCGCCGCATGTAGCGGCCCACACTTACGAAGGAATTAGAGGGAAGGTTCTCCGCCATATCCTCGCGTTCATTCCCCACCTTCTCCTCTGCTCCTCCGTTCTTGGAGCTCGCTGACGACCACTCGGCACTCATAGCTCCAAGCACTTCAAAGGAATCCGTCAAAAAACTGCTCCGGCCACTGTAACCGCCGCCAGCGCTTCCAAATCCTCGTCTCTCTTCATTCCCTTCCTCTCCTTCCTGTGTTGCTGCCTCCGCCCGATCCTCGGCCGAAGTCCGCCCGAGCAACCGCCGCACTGCTGACTCCATCTGCGCCAAAGACCTTTCCGCTGCTCCTTCGTCGTTCTCACCTGTACCTTCCCGCTCGAAAGCCTTACGGGAAGGAGGGTAGTGCATGTCTAGCTCCTCCACGATGGCGTTTTGAATCCTTGGATTAGAAGCAAGAGCCTCCCCAAAACGCAAGATCTCGGCGTGGACTTCCGGTTGCGGATGCAAGCGTGCCAGCAAGGTCGATGGCAAGGGTGCCAAACTTCGAGAAACTGGCGACCGGGTTCGCAACATGGGCGGCAACGACTGAGTCGGAGCCATACCTTTAGCAAGATTGACGCGCTGCTTGTCCTCCACCGCCTCATCGATCCCTGCCTCTACTTGAGGGGCTCTTTCACTAGTCTTGGCGGCACCTGAGACCCGCTTCTGTAATTTATTCGCCTCTGAGTCTTGATATGCAGCCTCCGCCCGATGGTGATGAAAGTGAGAGGTCGCGCCCTCTGGCGCGAAAAGAATGCGGGACGCTTCTTCAACCTCCCTGGCACTGATGGTGCAGTCCCTTGAGAGATGCGGGGCCGGTGTCGCAACGGGTGACAGATTTGCGTCTTTGAGGGCGTTGCTCTGGACACGCACTTCCTCCGCCCGCTCCCCCGTTGTGGTGTCTGTTGTCAACACGGTTGAGTCACGGCCAACACCCCCGCTGTCGTCATCATCGTCGTCGTGAAAGGTACGCGCCGCTTGGCTTTGATATGTGCATGCCCCGACGGTGCACCCGCCCTTGACGTAGTTTGGCAAGTTATGCGACAATCCACGGCGTGCCATTTCGTTCTCAAGAGCTGGCCTTGGACGGATTCAGCTTCTTCGGTGACTGCCTCAACAGCTTCAAGTGGCTCTTCAATCGCCTCCTTAGGGAAAGCGAATGATGGGGTTACCTGTAGCAAAATGGTATGAGGGAGCAATGGAGGTAAGTCTCAACTTTGAACACAAAGGAAAAAGAGATCACAGAGTCGTGGCCGTGATCGCGTGATGCACTTTGCTTTGGCACACGCGGAGCGAGACTTGGCTCCGCACCTTACAGAAGAGCATAACCGGATAAGAAATGTAAGGCGTAACGCCCGCACGTCGAAGGTTCAACAAACATTGGCACTCTCGCCTCGTTCATATATACCTGTCCGGAAAGGGACAGCGGTGCTCGCGCAAATAAGATAGGGTAACAGCGTGCCAGCCTGATCGCCAACCGGGAGCGAGCTTAAAGGCAAACATCATGTCAAGCCCGCACCATTGCGGTCAGCTTGCAAGTCTCACTTTTGAACTATGGAGGCAAAGCACGGGAGTGAACGTGTATATTCGTGAGGACTGTGTGGACCACATATTGACATGTACGTCCGGCCTTCTGAGGACGAGGAGTCGGCGTGATGTGTTGAGAAGGGCCCGCCCCCCGAGGGCCTCGGCTGAGGGGGCGGGAGGTTCCGGCGCGGGTCGAGGGCCGGAAATGAGCATTTTGGGAGGACATTTTCAGACGCAGTGTCATCAAAGTCAAAGCTTTGGCTAATGATTCTTAGATACTTAATCATTAGTAGCGTTTTTGGGTGCGCGTACTGGCCGATGCTATTTGTGAGTACTTCAAGACCAGATTTCTTGTCCTTTTCTGAAGTTTTTTCAGGACAACATGCCGCCCCTTGTGCCCTCCTACGTATGGGAGCAAGATGAGCATCAAATACTCCTAACTATAAGCTTTAGAGGTGTAAAAGCAGAAGATATTGATATATATGGTAAGTTTTATCTTTGCATTGCTATCAGTAAAATCCTCTGTTCATGCCTTTAATTATTTTCGGCTCATTCTTTCTACCTTTTTTTGCGTTCTTCACAAGTCGCTCGCACATTTTTGAAGGTTAGCTTTGGCAAATACTTGTTGGCATTAGATCTTCTGCATAGTATTGATGACGAAAGTGTCCAAGCAAATGCAAAAATAGGCGGCAAGCTGATCCTCACCATGCAGAAATTGAAGGGTTTGGATAATGAAGGAATTTGGCCAAGCTTAACAGTTCCTCGTAAGACGCTCGACAAAGAATCTCTTGCTGCACGTAGGGCACATGCAATCGAAGAAAGGCGGGGAAAAGAGCAAAGTCTCCACAAAGCAACCCAAGAGAAGAAAAAGGAGTTCGAAATGCAGGTCCTCAAGTCTCGCATGGAAATGGATGAGGCGCGTAGGGCTCAGCAAGAGAGGACTTTGAATGAGGAAAAGCAAATCTTTTTTGCCTTAGATATAGGGATCGATCCCCATGAAACATTGTCAACACTATCGATCCCAACATCTAAAAGTTTGTCAGTGCCCGTGGCGCCTGCCGTGCGTTCCGAAAGTGGACGCAAAGTCATAAACGTGACATTCACACCGCGAATGTTCCCGACCCCTTTGCGGGAATCCAAGAAACTTGATGAGGATCTGTGGATTAAAAAATTTAAGCCAGCATGGAATGAAAACGTCCACCAAAAGCTTGAGGCGCGAAATCATAACGAGGAGCCCAAATATGATGATATGCGTTCGGTGAGCGAAAGAGACCCCTTTTGGCTAAAGGCTCGGGGTGACAATATGTGCAGAGCAGGCGACTATGAATCAGCCATAAATGCCTATACTACGGCTTTGTGCTGTGACTCTCGACACCGACAGCACCACCTGCTCCTTGGAAATCGCGCTTTATGCTTCTTCAGAATCAGGCGATATCAGGAATGCGCTGACGACTGCACAGAGGCTTTAAAGCTTCTACAATCGAGTGAACGCCAAGATTCCGATACGTCAGTCGGTATATACTTACAGTTGTACGCTCGCCGTGGTGCATGTTTTTGTCAGATGGGAAATTACGCAATAGCATTGAAGGATTACAGGTAACTGTCGATGCGTCAATATTAGTGGGTCGCTCCCAAGATTTAATCATGCAGGCTCCCTCTCACTATCACCACAGGATGGCTCTCTATTACTCTCCCAATGACTCAAGCTTAAAAATGGATATCGAGAAGCTGACCAGGGAGGTGAATGAAGAGTAGCTCCGGGGTAACAAGAGGGTCCAATCTGCCCGACACATTGTCTGTGACGGCACAAGCTGACTTATGATGATAAGAAAACTCAGCATCACAATCGAAAGAATGATTCTCTTATCTATCTGGTCCTTATTTACTATCCACAAACACTGGAAATTCATGCGATCCACGTGCGCACGTCATCTACGCTGATTTGCGTCGCTTCTCTTTGATCTTGTTCAAAACCTGCAAAGCGGCGGTAGTTATACGCGTGCCAGGCCCAAAGATGGCAGAAGCGCCTGCCTTGTACAAGACGTCGTAGTCTTGAGAAGGAATTACCCCCCCGCACACCACCAAGATGTCGTCAGCCCCTTGCTCCGCCAGGGCTTTGACCAGGGCCGGGACCAACGTCTTGTGTCCCGCCGCCTGGGAGCTGACACCCACTACATGCACGTCCGCGTCAATGGCCTGTTGCGCCGCCTCCTCCGGTGTGGAGAATAGAGGGCCTACGTCCACGTCGTAACCCAGATCGCTGAAGCCGCTGGCAATCACCTTAGCCCCGCGGTCGTGCCCGTCTTGACCCATCTTGGCGACCAGGATCCGAGGCCGACGCCCCTCCTCCTCAGCAAATGCCTCTACTTGGGCCAGCACCATGCTATACTCTTTTTCTGCCACAGACTTGTTGAAAGTAGCCATGTAGGCCCCTTGGACCACGGCGCTGGAGGGGGTGTGCCGACCCCATTTTACCTCCAAGGCATTCGAGATCTCGCCCAAAGTGGCGCGTTCCCGGGCGGCCTGGACTGAAAGCGCGAGGAGATTGAGCGGGTGCGAGCCCTTTGAAGTTGACTGGTTCCGAGGTAAACTTGCGGATTCCGTGAGCTTGGCTAGGGCCGCATCCACGCGTCCTGTGTCGCGCTCGGCCCTCACGCGCTCCAGACGCTCTATTTGCTTCTGGCGCACGACCGAATTGTCTATGCTGAGCACGTCCAACTGCTGCTCCTCTGCGAGACGATACTTGTTCACACCCACGATCGTCTCAGTCCCGGAATCAATGCGCGCCTGCTTCTTGGTCGCGCTCTCCTCGATTCGGAGCTTTGCCATGCCGCTCTCGATGGCCTTGGTCATGCCGCCCAGCCCTTCCACCTCCTCAAAGACCTTCATCGCGCCGTCGTAGAGGTCTTGTGTCAGCGCCTCCATCATGTAGGATCCACCCCAGGGGTCCGCCACCCTAGTGATGTGGCTTTCCTCTTGGAGAATGAGCTGGGTGTTTCTCGCAATCCGAGCGGAGAACTCTGTGGGCAGGCCCATGGCCTCGTCGAAGGAGTTGGTGTGAAGGGATTGTGTCCCGCCCATGACTGCCGCCATGGCCTCCACAGTCGTACGAACGATGTTGTTGTAGGGATCCTGCTCCGTCAGCGAGTACCCGGATGTCTGACAGTGCGTCCTTGGGGAAAAAGGAGATGCGCGGTCAGCCGACAAAACAATTAGAGGGGCACCAGGTCTGTAGACCTGTACCAGTAAACAACTGATGTCCTTCTGAGAGATAAATGTGCTAGAAAAGAAGCAATGGCCACGAGGACGGCGCCCGCGCAAGTGCCATGCCTCCTTTTCTATTACTTTCACCCACAGTCCGGTGGCTCACCTAAGAATCGTGCTTTTTCTGTTCTTCGGGGCAAAATATTTGGTGACGAGCGAAGCCCAGAGCTTCCGAGCCGCACGGAGCTTGGCAACCTCCATGTACAGGTTCATGCCGATGCCGAAGAAGAAGGAGAGGCGTGGGGCAAATTTGTCCACGTCCAAGCCCGCCTGTTGGGCGGCCCGAATGTACTCGATACCGTCGGCGATGGTAAAGGCCAGTTCCAGCTTAGCGTCGGCCCCAGCCTCTTGCATGTGGTATCCCGAGATGGAAATAGAGTTGTATTTCGGCATGAAGTCGGTAGTGTACCCAAAAATGTCCGAGATGATGCGCATGGAGGGGGTCGGCGGATAAATGTACGTGTTCCGGACCATGAACTCCTTGAGAATATCATTTTGGATAGTGCCCTTCAGTTGCTCCAGCTGCACGCCTTGCTCCTCGGCGGTCACTATGTAAAAGGCCAGGATGGGGAGGACGGCTCCGTTCATGGTCATGGAGACCGACATGCGATCCAGCGGGATGCCGTCGAAAAGGATCTTCATGTCTTCGACCGTGTCAATGGGTACGCCCGCCATCCCAACGTCTCCAGTCACGCGCGGGTGATCGGAATCATAGCCTCTGTGAGTGGCAAGGTCGAAAGCCACGCTCAATCCCTGCTGACCAGCCTCCAGGTTCCTGAAGCGTGGAGGAGTAGGCAAGGGGAAATGTGATTTAAATACACTGGAGCAATTCAACGGCGGGTGGTTTGTAGCTTATGACGCATTGACATCCATAGCACGTAGCCATCTATCTTCCTCTGCTGCACTCACTTGCGATAAAAGGCGTTGGACTCTTCAGCAGTCGAGAAGCCTGCGTACTGCCGGATGGTCCACGGCCGCGACGTGTACATCGTGGCATAGGGGCCACGACAATATGGAAATGCACCCGGAGCTGTTTCACATAAGAATGAAGAGTAGTGTTCAATCTCTTACCAGGCAGTAAACAAGAACGGGGAATCCTGCTACCACGAGCTTGTGAAAGCCTCATGTTCCGCTTACCTTGATCAATCTCGATGCCCTTTAGGTCGTGCGCTCCATATATCGGCTTTATAGTGATCTCTTCGGGAGTGTGGAATAAGAGCGAGTCCAGTGGCTTTTTTCCTTTCAATTCCTTCTCCGCCGCAGCAGCCCAGCCCTCCGGGTAGGACATCGAGGAGGACGACAAAGATGACAGCGGTCTCCTCCCGCCCTCATTCCCCATGATTAACATCCGAAACAATTGCGATGATTTAAATTGACCGCAGTCAACAGCTTTACGGTTGAGGCGGCGTGAAAGGGCTCGCAGCATGAATGTTTGGGGCATCAACATGTTTAGAGTCGTTCTCAAGAGGAACTTGAACAATAGGTGACGAATTCGCGCTCGTTCGTGCTTCTCCTTCCTTTGAGCCCTGTCATAGAATCCAGCAAGTCAGAATACACTTAGAAGAGGTTTGAGACAGCAACATGGCGCAGTGCCCGTTTGTTTTACACAAACGTTGTGGTACATAACCGATGCCCCCGGGTCTTGAAGGCCCTCATCGCCAAGAGCAGACCGCGAGGGGCGTAGAAAGCCGTCTCTGGCCTCGTAATACTCTGGGAAAAGGTACCATCCCCAATGCAACACTGAGGTGTCCACTTGCTGCTATTTTTGCCTCTTCTTAGTACAAGAGTTGGGCTATGTGACAGCCCTTTCCACCCTGATAGACCGGGGATACCTTTCTGCCCCAGGAGGCTCGACAAGCGGCAGCATGGCCCACCCTGCCCTGAACTGTTCAAACTCTGTAGCTCACTTTCTCCTTCTCACTCCTCCTGATACTTTCTCCTGCTATTTTAGATTCATGACCATGTCTTCTGAAATCTCCTCGCCAAAGCGGATGCCATTAAGTAATCCGAAAAGTTTGGACGATGACTTATCTCACCTGGCAGGCCCTGGACATGGAAATGGAAAGGCTTTTCTTGTGTCATTACGTCGAGATCCAGCCCTGGCACCATTGCTCGAGCCACATTTTGATGCAGCCTCTTTCTCTGCTCATGTTGTGGGTACCGACAACGCAAGTGGCGCGACGGGATCTCCCTTGAGGACAGCGTCGAGTACCCGCCCATCCTCGGCGCGCTCACGGGTTGAAGTCATGGTAGCGCAACTGACAGAGCAGCTGACTATTGTCGAAGCAGCCATTGAGAAGCATATTTTGCAGCATCAACAGGAGCTCATGCAAGGTATGGGAGACCTGGGTGAACTCCGCGAGAATTGTGATGTGCTGACTGTCCGGAGCAAGGAGTTGCGTCGATCTGTGAAGAAATTGAGCGCCGAGCTGCTCGAGCCATACAAGGACACGGAGCGTCGCACCCAGCAACTCAGGCGAATCCATGAGTCGAACGATATTTTAAAGAAAATTGCTCGTTTCTTGGTGGCTTTGACTCGGATCAAAGAAAGCAGTACCCTGTCGAACGTGGATCTCGCAAAAGAGGATCCCGAGTCGGCGCGGAAAGGGTTAGAGCTCCGTGATATCGCTAAGGCTGCGCAGCACCTACACGAGGTGGAAGCGATTTTAGAGGATCCGGCTCTGGCAGAATTGAGTTTGGTGACGGCGGAGCGCCCATACGTGGCTTCTCTCGGACTTGGCCTGCGTCGCACTGGCATGGCCAGTCTCAAGGCGGCCATGCTGAGTATGAACCAAGCAGACCTTGACCCGGCCTTGCAGGTATTTCATAACTTGCAACACCTTGCCCCTGTGGTACTCAAATGCCTTGCGGCGATGGTGGCGGAGGGGGCCGAGGCCACTCGGCTCGCCTTGGACCCGGGGGCTCTGGAGGCGGTCGTCGCCCCGGACTCCTCCGTGCCACGCCTTTCCTCAACAGCGCCTACTTCCTCACCGCCCGCCAGCACAGCCACCTCTCAGCGACAGGGTGGTGGGGAGATGGAAGCTATTGCCCTCCGACAGCGGCAAGTGCGCATCCGGGACCACTGCGATCGGTGGGCGACAGTGCTCTTGCAGTCCTCGCTGAAAGTCTGGTCCCTCCAGAGAGCTCTCCACATGAAGACTGACGCGGCCACGAACCAAGATCTCCTGTCAATAGTGCTGCAGTCCCCCGACTTCGCACGCGCCGCGGACCGCGTCATGGCATTGCCGAGCGTCGCATCGTCTTCCGCTGCGAAGGGCAGGACAGGCTCGAGTGAGAACAACACCCACATAGAGTCCGCCGGAGTCAGAGACCGAGCGCGCGGATGGTCACCATCTGGTGTGGGTGCGCTGTACTGGCTGTACTGGTTGGAGCTTACGGCCATCATACGCTCCACGACAGAGAGGGCCTCACGACGCGCGTCTTCGGTCGTTGCGGCGCCTTCCTCATTGGCGGTTGCGCCAATAGTCAATAGCTACCCGCATTTTCTGCGGAGTCTGACGGACGCTCTGGACAGTCTGGTGGACAGCACGTCCAAGCAATGCCATAGCTTGCTACAAGGTGCACCGCATGGAGTTCTCAGTCGCTCCCAAGAGAGGGGCAATCCGGCCGCGCTTTTGGCGCTTGTGGAGGCGTTGGGTGAGGGGACGTCGTCGGAGGCTCAAACGGGTTTGATTGAAGGCGAAGAAGAGCACGGGCCGATGTCTGAGCGTCTGTCGCCTTCCTCGCTGTCGCTTGCGCCCGAAACGGCCGGTGGCAGCCATGAAGAGCGGACGGTGGGTGCAGAGGCTCTGAGGAGCCTCCGCGATCTATACTTAGGACAGAGCCTGCAGCGTCTGTGTCGGCCCATAGAGCAGATGTTCCCCAGCCAGGAGGGCTACCAGGCGGCCATTCCCAGCAAACATGACTTGCAGGCGCTCCTTCGCGTCATGCAAACCGAGGTTGTAAGCGCCCTTGCGGAGGGAGGGCCGCTCCTCCTCCCTCACGTGCTGCAGGGCATGGTGAAGGCGGTGTATCTCTTTTGTGCGAAGATCGAGGCCATGATCAACACCGGAGAGGGCGCACGCAAGCTTTATCCGCTGCGTGGGTGGATGCTGGGGTACGAGAAAGAGCACAACCTGCAACTCCTGCAGCTGGTGGCCCTCCTACACCACGGCCTTCAACGCTTACCGCAGGAGCTGGCGCCTGCCTTCCGCGTCGGAGTCTCTTGCACGAAAGCTGTGGCGGAGGCCGTGGGGGCCCTGGAGACATTAGCAGTCGTCAACTTGGTACATCCCTACATGGTGGACATCGCGACGGAGCTGGGTGGGACGCTGGCGGAGATGCACCTGGAGAACTATGCGCCTCTACCTCAAGAGCAAGAACAAGGAGACAAAGGCCAAACTATGAATTCCCGATTTATCAGTACCTTTCAAGCCGCTGTGGAAGCTTTGCGGAAGCATCACCTTAGCCGTTTCCCTTTACAATGCGAGTTTGTCTCCCGGGCCTTCAAGGCTCTCGCCGGACGGCTACTGCGCCTTTATGTGAGCCATGCGGCGCTCGTCCGCCCTCTCAACGAGGCAGGCAAGGCGAAAATAACCAACGACATGGCCATGCTGGAGACAGCCCTCTACTCCCTACATCCTAAACTCGCAGAGCTGGGTGCCCCTTACCTGGAGCTGAAAGCGTTTCGCGAGCTGTGTTTCTTCGGAGACGAGCAAAACCCCTTGACAGTGAAGGGCCTATTGAAAGAGCGCTTCACAGCCAACCTCCGGCCCTCCACCTTGCTGGACGCGCTCTTCGTCCGCGCTCCTCTCGAGCTCAGCTCACCGCACATTCTCCAACGCTGCTCGGCACGCACGCTGGTGGAAGAGCTCTTGTCTATCTATTACATGGACAAGCGAGTCCTCCAGGAGGGCGGTGCTGCGGAAGACGAGGCAAGTATGGAAAACCTCCCTAGTAAGCGGCGAGATCCCAGGATGGCAGCAGAAAGTGCTCATTGGCAAATGGTCCAGTTGTGTCTGGACGCCTACGCCCAGCGCACGAGTGCCACGCAGGGTGAGCTTGCCTACATCTACGATGTCATGCTCAACTCTGGTGGGCCCTTGTTGAAAGCGTTCGGAGACCGGCTGGGAGAAGAGGAGCAAAGTGCGGCCAAGCATTACAACAATGGCAGCAGCACTAGCATCTCTGCAACACGATTCCCATTGAATTGGTGAAACAGACAACTTTCGGTGTTTTGAATGAAATAATCGACTGATATAAGTGGCCCCCGATGATGTGATCACTGTACTTTGCTTTTTACAATTAGCCATGAAAATTGTAGTATAGGAGCGATGGAGGCTTGACATCGCCATGTGCGCAACATTTTTCTGTCTTCTGTAGATCCTGAGGCAGGTGCGTGTGTGGTTCTGGCACTCCCGTCCCCCCCCCCAAAACAAGCTGTCTGTGCCCGGGTCTGAACGCGCAAGTCAAAATCGGAAAACGTGGGTGGCACACGACATGGCGGGCTGCGGAATTGCCGGTATTCAGGTCGAAGAAGCGCAGCGTCGTGTCCGTCGACCAGGTCATCACCATTGGCGCATTGATAGCTTCGCTACCAACACAATTTGTCAGGTCGGGGGGCACAAGCGCAGCACCGAACACCGGCCGTCCGTGGCCCTTCAAGACAGCGCGCAAGGAAAATGTTCGTGTGTCGAAAGCAACCACGTCGCCGCGTCCTCCGCACGCTAAGAGCAGATGCTCATGGGTGGCAAGGTGCAATGCAGTCAAGTGCCCCTCCGCCCCCTGCACCCTGGCAACCGTACGGGCCGACCGGCGATCGAGCACGCGCACACTTCCGTCGCTCAGGGCCACACACACCACGTCTTCGCCCTGCCCGGGGTACAGCTCACCCGCAACGGCGTCAAATATGTAGCAAATGTTTGCAGGGTTCCGTTTTACGCCGCCGTAGGCCGCCCGATTTCCTGGCTCTGTCGTTGGAGCCACGGAGTCGAAGGCCCACGTGTTAGTCAAGCTCTGGTTCTCCACGTCCCACCAGTAGATTTTGTCGTCCGCAGCCGTCATGAGTGAAGGCTGAGAATTCAGTTCTGTAGTCTCGAGCCAAAGAAGTGCATAAATTTGCTGATCCGGGCCGGGATGCGCAAATTCGGTTTTTAAGGCAAAGGTCGCACCAGCTTCCTTTTGGTCATGACTCTTATTCGGATTTCTCTCGCTTTTCGCCTGTGCTGCCACACAATATATACGTACAGCTCCTGCGGCGGTACCAGTGGCAAACCATGATGTTGTGTTCGGAAGATCAGCAACCCTTTCTCCATCCCTCGATTGCTCTCCATCCCTCGGTTGCCCTTTCCAGGCAACTCGAAGCACTTCAGCTGCATGCGGGAGCCTCTGCAAAAGTTTCGGCACTTCTCCACTAGCTGCGACGTCCCAAATTTTCACATCTTCAGCATCAGAGGCTGAGGCCATCCACCTGTTGGATTTGTCGAAGGCTAGGTCGAAAACCCGCTCGCTATGTGCCTGCGGTAATGCTGTTGCTTGAGATCCCCCTAGACACATAGATGAGGCCGTCGAAGGGCCTCGCTCGGACGGAAGCCTCGCATTTTTGTCCCTGGGTTCATCAACGGACTGTCCCTGCATGGCTACCGATAATTTAATGATGGTGTTTGCATTATTAGGTGAGAAGGACTATCACTGAGGACGTACGACCCCCCTCGGCTGGGCGAGCTAGCCTGAGGCTGATCGCGGAAGAAGCTTGCAACACACTTCTCGGAACATGCCAAGAGCGCTAAAGAAGTTTAGTGCGCATTATACAACTCGATGTATCTTAACACGATCCTTTCACATTTTCTTCCACTGCCTGGCAGAGAAATCACTTTCAACGCGGACAAAGACTGCAAGCAGAAAGGTGCTAGTAGGTAGGAGGTTTCCGAGAATTTCGCAGTACAACTTTGAAACAGGACAGGAACAGCAAGTCTTTGAAACAGAGATGAGATAGAGATCATGGCGGCTATCAGAAAATATCAACTGGTTCTGTGTATTGTCTTTTTTTCATACTTTGTTTGTCGCATACTTGCCGTCGAGGAGGCATCGGAAAGGCTTGGGGGGAAAGAAAACTTGAGAGGCGAAGACCAACATATGCCAGAAATGGAAGAAACGGAGGGTGCGATGACGACTTTCGAGTTGTTCAGAGATAGCATGGAGGAATTCAACGAAGACTTCCAGGAAGGCATCCATTTGGTGAGGGAAAGGGCCTTACAGGTGAAGGAGCAAGCCTTCAAATTGCAAGAAAAGTTTACCGATATAGTTGACGAGGCCACGTTGGACGTTCGCGAGTATTTGGGTCTTGAGAAACCTTACCTCGAGCAGCTTGAAGATCGGATGCTCAATGTATTACAGAAAACAGCGTTTGCTCGCCAGGTTATTGTAAAGGGCTGCGTTGGATTGAGCATGGTACTTTATGGCATGCACTTTTCTCATTTAGTAGTTTTCATTCACACCTTACGAGTAACTGGGCTTCCTGTAATGCAGAGAGCATGGAATGAGTTTGTCGACATGTACGGCACCGCACGACGGACTATTAAAAGGGAATACCCGAATATGTTGCATACCAAAAAACTCCTGCAGGCTGTGCACTATGAGATCCAATCAACGCGCAAATTGTTACACGAGTCCGCTGAAGCTGCCAAGGACGGAAAAGTGACAGAGTCAGAAGCTAGGGAAGCAGTTCGGAAAGCCAAACTCAATCTACGAGAGCTGAACGAGAAATCCTGGATCCTCAACCAAGCCTTTTCTTCAATGCACGCTGTGGCAGCTGCAATCGACTTTGTAAAGATCAAGGATCTATTTTCTGGAATCTACACTTCGGCTTTAGCATGTTTTGCAACGGCGTCATCGTCGACATTGCGGGGTCTCTCCATAGGCTTTGACCTGGCCTCCTTGATATCCCAGCACATTGACCACGCTGTGCAGGCTGTGGCAGAGCGCATTCCTCGGTTGGAGGTCCTTCAATACTTGCCTAGAGAGACACAAAAACTTCTTGGAATGACTGTGTCCTTGGTCTCTGTACTCAAGGGGCTAATTGTCGTACATTTTGTCGTGCCTCGCCTTACACTGGTCATTTCTTCATCGGCCTTGGGTGCCCTTTGGGTTACTGACATGCTAGTGGACGTAATGGACGCGGGAGCAGACGGACCTGGCACGGGATTGTTGAATGACAAATGCTTATACTTGCTGTCTAATTTCTTTTGGACTGCTGTAGGCTGCATGTATCAAAGTCATCGTGAAGGTCAAGATATGCCGCGCCTCATCCAAGTCCTTCTATTTCCTGCCGTGCGTCTTGAGACTCTTCTATGTTCGCTTGATAATTTTTTGGGATCCAGCCGAGAGAAAATCGAGTATCTTGTAAAAAAGCATACGCCTTTTTCGGGTAATGCGATGGAAGCGCAGGAGACAGCGCACACGCCATCACTTGCAGTGCAGGAAGCAAAGGAAGGCAACACTGCACGCGAGCGCAAGAGAGGCGGCCTCCTTCATTTTTGGAAGGGACATATGTGAAACGGGTGGAAATGATCCGAAGGAAAGGGTGTATGTGCTGAAAATTGGTTTGGTGGTAGCACCCATATGTGCACGCATGAATTTATGTACAAGATGTTAATAGAATGTATTCCATCCGGTGAAAGGGTGTAAAATCCCACCATGTTTTGCAGTTTGGGGGGACGGTGCGATGACTGTGAGACGACTTAAGCGACAAGTAAGCAATTAGTTGTCGAGGATTATCAGAGGTAGAAGAAGTCAATTGGAAATTATGCCACATATTAAAAAGCATACCTTTAAAGGGCATATCCTTTTTTGAACATGGTTCACTCATGCATGAGGTAAACTTGAACAATGTCTTTTTAAGCAACTCACTGAAACTCTTCGCGTTCAAGGCAGGAATAACTTTTGATTTTTAAATGTTCAAATAACCGTTCCAACCCCCCCGGGCCCCGGACAGGAACGTCAGCAAGGTGGGGCGAATCCTGTTTTGGTTTGCATCCTTCTTAACATGGCATTTCCATCTCCGCCGTATACCAATCGTGTAAACAAACTACATTATTTCATCCTTTACATATACCTTACTTCATTTCAAGCCATCTGAAAGTCGTGAAAAGGGACACGTGTCAACTTTTTGCCCATGTTTTAGTAGAAATGCGATGTTGAAGCGGAGAGTCCTTGAGAGAGGTTTACGCGCGTCCTTCTGATGCCGCGAGCTCCATGCATTGTTTAAACACTTTTTTTCCAAAAATTGCCACGTTTTAAGGAAACAAATTAATCCTTCACTCACCACCTAGCAAGGCCTGGGGTCACTTGCCCTTTACTTAGGCAATTTACGCAGAGGTTGTTTGAGAGTGCTTTTGGTCAAACCAAGCATTGGTCTTACATGTCATGGGGAGGCAAGGCAAAGCCAGGGAAGGACGTGATTACCTTCAAATACGCACAATTTGTAATCTTCAGATATTGATGTATGAATGCATAATAACAGCGACTTCTGAATTACAGGCTTGAAAAGCTGATCTATTTTACTTTCTGAACAAGCAGGGACAGTAGTTTGAATGAATGGCCCTCTCATGCGAAGCCTTGTTTTTTAAATACGCAACATACAGGCTGGATCTACTGCCTTTTGGGATTTCTTAGGTTGAGGCGAAAAGTGAAAAGGTGATTGACATTGACTGAAGGGAGACGAACAAACTCCGCACCGGCCACGACTATGGCGTCTACAGTCAGAGCGGCTAGCAAGGGAAGTATTGTAACCATGCGTAAGAAAAGGGAATCGTTGAGTGTGATTCCGAGTAAAGCACCTCCTACTCAAGAAAGGCTTGACAAGACCCAAGGCATCCAGGATTCGGATTACCGCATTCGCAGCGCCACAGCAGGGCCACCAGACGTGATAGTCCGAGATAAGGCAACAGGCGCCGTAGCCCTGGATGTCTTCGACTATGAGCAGCTTGAAAACGTTGAATTTCTTGCGTCGGGGGCATTTTCTCATGTCTTTTCGGCTATCTACAAGGGCAAAAACGTGGTTGTGAAATTGCTACGAGAGCAGTACAAGGAGAGCCAAGTGACGCTGAAACAAATGCGCTTCGAACAGACACTCCTCAGCCAGTTGGATCATTCTAATATTGTTGAATTTATCGGTACAGGGGTGTATAATGGTGTGCCTTTTACCGTGCTGGAGCGGCTCGATGAAACGCTCAATCAGCGCATGGGGGGCGAGGTGCGCCTTACCATGCTCGAATCCCTAACATATGCAATGGCCATCGGGGAGGCGTTAGTCTACCTCCATGATGCGGCCATAACCGGTCACGTTACCCTTCACCGAGACTTGAAGCCCGACAACCTGGCTTTCGGGGAGTCGGGCAGTGTCAAACTCATCGATTTTGGCCTGGCTCGCTCAGTGCCCCGGGGGGCCTCCATCAATGAGGTCTATGAAATGACGGGGGAGACCGGTAGTCTTCGCTATATGGCGCCCGAGGTTGCCCTCGGTATGCTCTACAATGCCAAGGCAGATGTGTACAGTCTCGCTCTCATAACGTGGCAGATGGTGCAAGGAACAAAGCCATTCCAAGGCATGAGCCGCAAGGACTTCTTCCATCATGTGGTGCACCGGCATTTCCGGCCCCCAGTCGACCCTAAATGGCCTCCCGCGCTCAGTAGCATCATCGTGCAGGCCTGGGATCCCGACCAACTCAAGCGCCCGACAGCCCGGGAATTCGTGGATGCCCTTGGAAGCATCGTTCGCGGCCTAAGTCGCCATCGTCGGAACTCCACTGGAACTTCCTCTTCCCTCTCGCGCGTTCGCAACATGTTCAACATGATCAAGGAACGGGCGGAAGACTATGTTGTGGGCGCTGCAGGAACGGTGAATGGTGTGCACCATGACCGGCGCCGGTCCAGCGCCTGTGGTGGGGCATCGGGGGAGAAAGTGGGTTTCAAGGAAGGCGAAGAGCATAGAGGGCAAGAGGAACCACAGCAGAAGCCTCAAGAAGAGACACAGCCGCCTTCAGATGCCAAGGAAAACCACAAGACCACTACGCTCCCGCCACCAATACCCGAACCCGAGCGACAACCGGCCGCAGAGCCCTGCCAAGTACTTCAACCCATTCCGCAAGATGAGGAAGAGCGGAGGGAGATGGTAACCCCGAAGGAGGTGGCGGTTGGGCCCCCGGATGCGATCGGCAAAATTCCAGGAGAGAACGACACAGGCGGTCATAAACGGCGAAACAGTCATTAATTTGCGCGATCGTCCTAAACGGCTCGTCGAGATAAGTAATCCATCAACAAATCCAGTCTCGCATACACCTCATCACACCATTTGAGATTTCGGTAGTAGGATTATTACTTCGGGCATCAAAATTCTTGCTATAGATGAAAAAATCTGAATAGAGGGGACTCTTTCGATTTTATATTATATATTCTCGTAGCTTATAGGTCAGAAAATCTCTACTTACATATGCCTGTCAATGCCTGTGTACAGTCGCCATGTGAAAGAAATAAATAGTCATTCCCGCAATGAAGGATGAGAAGCTACATCGTATCGAGACGTAGATTTTTATCATCTCATGGTGAAAGATTAACAAGAAACGTTCTTTTCCATTGCCGTGAGAGACGTTCGCCAGTAGCTTTTTATTTACGTCGAGCTGGACTAAGAAGTTGAGCACAAATAAGGGTAATAACTCTTGTCATTAAATGATTTTTTTCTGACTAAACTTTCACTCCCAGAGATCAATTAACTCAATTATTTAGAACTCTGCAAACTATCTGAAAGGTGCCCAAGAAAACCATAAATCAAAAAAGGAATGTTTCCATGGATCCACACGTGCGCAACGGATTCAGTATTCATTTTGACGTGAGTACATGCCTTTCTTTGCACACCTTGCATTCCTTTTTCCCGCCAAAATAAAAGTCGTAATATGTAAATTCCACATATGATCACAGGCATACGAAGACATCGGTGTGGATTTTGTAAGTGTGGAACAAGGACAATGTAACTCAGTGCCTCGGCGCTCATATCTGCCAAACACGATAAGCATCTAGAACGAGAGCAGGAGGCATGTCAACAAAAAATCGAAAAGTTGACCTTACCATACCACAAGGAACGCTTCATGCAGCTTTCGCATACTGAAGCTCGCTCAAATCCGGAGGTTGGCAAACAACGTGATTGTCAATGCTTGCAGGGGAAGATGAGGTCGAGACTCCATCGAAGCCCTCCTCGTCCCAGGAGCTAAGGGAAGAAGGGCGGCTATGTTTCCCATTTAGGTCCCAAATGAGTATGTCATGCATGCTGGGTACATCAACTTCGGGTGCGATAGATGGAGAGGTCGAGGAGCAGGAGGAAGAAAGATTCTCCTGCGACAGGCTTTGCATGAGCTCGTCTAAAGGATTTGATGTCATGAACGGGCAAAGAGATCCCTGCGGTGGCAGATGTAAGGCTGATGCGGTTAGAGTCGGAGTCATATCAGAAGGCGAGGTGCATGACTGCTGCGGGGCAACGTAGACTTTACAATGAGAGGATTGTGCCGTAGGAACCGCCGCAGGCGTCGCCATAGCCAGACCTGCGGGGACACGTAGACGCTTATAGGAATTTGGCTGATTTTGCGCGATAGTTTCCTCGTCGTCAATGCCCAGGTAATGAATTTGTGCAGCCATTTCAGCCTCCAAGGGCATTCTCACAGATTGAGGTGCGTTTAGTCCCAAGTCCTGCTCTTGGCAATTTCCTCCGGGTGCAGACAGGGGATTTGGAAAACTCGCACGATATTGTGATGATGGCGATACCAGCGGAGCACCAAAGTCATATCCATGGGCCATCATTTGCATGTTGTAGTATGTTGGCGGGACACAAGCGTATGGGCCTACCATCCATGGCACGAATCCTGCGGGCGCAGTTGGGGGGCAGCCTGAAGGTGCGGCTCTTGTGACAGGTGCAAAAGGGCGTACAGTAGTATGCTGCACAGGACCTGGCAGGTGAGCCGCTGGCTCATTTTTCTGTCTCTTTTGCTCGAGAACAGAAGATTCAGAAGTAGATGTGAAACTCACCGTTTCCGTGGACAAAGATGATTTCTGGTATTTAAAGAAGAGAGTCTTAGATGTAAAACAACATAAGGCCAAGCCTTCAAGCATGAAAAGACGCATCAATAGTGAAAAAAATGACAATTTTTGATTGGATTTTAAGCGACGTACCTTGGAAGTGCCTCGACGTTCAGTGTTATCGACGCCTTTCCCATCCATCATTAAGACACCCTGATGACCAGCCTTTCTAGCCTTTTCCAATTTTATAAGGTATTTCTGGGCATGTGTACGAATTTGGACCACTGTCCGCGTTGTAACAATCTCGGATATTTTCTTCCATGATTTACCGTGTAATTGCAGACCCCTAAGAAACAACATATGTTCCTCAGCCGTCCAGCGTCCAGGGTCTTTCTTGACTACGTATGATGGTATGAGTATAGTGAAAAGGCGTTAGCAGACAGTGTTTTATGTCACAAAGTTTGCAACTTGATTGCAGAGCAGGGTTCCAATTGCGGTATGAAACGCGAGATTTTAAAATATCTCGACCAATATTTGTTTTACTCATTTACCTTCGTTGAAGGCGCCTTCCTTGCCAAACTGAGAGCTTCTGAATGAATCATTTGATGTCAAGTTCATGGAATCATGAAGCGCTCCAGCGGGAAATCGTGCGTCACTGCGTTCATGAAAGCCTTTTCTCGTCGAAGTCTCCATTTGGCTTTAAAACGATATATAATCAGCCTGTGAGAGAGACATTGAGATTTGAGAAGTTTGAAAGAA